AAGTGGACAAACAGAGGATTTACTACTAAGTGAAGCAAGCTAGACTATGAAAGAGAGACATTGTATGACTGCACTTAATATATAATAAAGTCCATACTCTGTGGTAAAAATGGAAAGACTGGAAGCTATAAAAACATGGAGAACAACTGCAGATACTAGAGACAGTGTGGGAAATGGGGTAGGAAGAAAGGAAAGTAATCGAAGGGAAAAAGGAAGAAGTAAAACATTTAAGGGACACAAAAATGGGAAAAGTATCTGTTAACTATAACGTGGGTGGCAATATCTTTAACTGGACAGATACACAGTGTATTCATGATTGAAAAGTTCATTTGATACGCTTTAATGAGATACAGTGACTGGACACATAAAATAAGTAAATAAATAAAATATGGAAAAAATGTTGATGATGCATATGTTTATATCTTCTATTTAATTACCATGCACTATATAAAGCTTTAGAAAACATACTATAACCCACCATATGTAAATCAGAAATTACAAAAAAAGAAAAAGATTGCCCTCAAAGACTAGCTGATGTGAAAAACTGTAGTGGAAAAACTGGCACCACAAGTCAGAGCACTTCTCTTCCCGCCCACTTGTATCACTTTGGTTGATCTTAAGCACAACTTGTGCCTTAGGATAATCAAATGGACCTTGATAATGATCACTCTTATCCTTCTTTATTAATACGAGTTTTACGGGGATCAAATCAGATAATAAATAAGAAAAAAATCTGTAAGAAAGGCAGTATACAATAGTGATATAATTCGACTGCTTAAGTATTGCATGTTATTAATATTTTAGTATTAACTGAAATTTCTCCAATGACAACAGAGGGAAAAAATACAATGCTCAGATGAACTAGAACAAAATTTACAAATTAGAATAAAGTCTGAGGCTGTTGAAAATACATAGGCAAAAAAAGTTACTAGCTTGTTTTCTGCTTCTTTAATTTACTGTATGCTATGGCACAAGAAGAAAGTTGGCAATGGAATAGATGAGCTACTAAATTAATTTCACATAACCAAACCTGATAAGAGGTAGCATTGTTTACTAACATGGAAAGCCACTGTGCTTTTGTACAAATAGACTACCATACAGATGTTAATATATAAATATATATATTATATATATATATATATATAATATTATTATTATTATATATAATAATATATAATTCTCACGCAGGGAAGGATCCTATCATTTAAAATCGACAAAAAGTTTGAAGCTCAGGGCCAGATAGAGCATAAGTGTGTCATTAATATTTGTAGACCAATTAGGGAAAAAAGCATTTATGTATAAATAAAAATATTGACTATATGAACATGAAGATAATTCTTTCACTCAGTATTTTAACACCATGTCGTTTGGAGCCTATAACATAAGTGAATGGAGACCTTGGAGAATTTCCAGAAAAAAAGCAATGAAAATGATGAAAGAGTTGGAAAATGAGGTCTATAAATCATGACTACAGGAATAGGGAGTTATTTAACCTGAAAGAAAAAAAGCTACGTGAATGTACCAGATTCATATATCTGAAACTTGGAGATGGTGAGATTTGCCATGACCCATCTGTACAGCCGTGCCAGCAGAAAATAACATAGAAACAAGAAAGAGATTTTCAAGGTATACTATTATTTCTATAAATATCCAAATATCTCTCCTGTGATTTTCAAAGCAACCAGTGGCAGCCCTAGAACAAATAAGATTTGCAACGATTCAACCCACAAACATTTATCAAGTGCCACCGAAAACCATGTACCTTGCCAGGTATTGTGGGGAGAAAGGAGTAGGGCATGATCCCTGACCTCTAGGACTGTGGAGGTTAGTCAGGAGACAACATTCAAGTTTCAGGATGTCTGGTAATCTCCTAGAATCAAAGAATGTGCAAAGTCCCTTAGTGACCCTAGGGATAGTACAATCAAGCTTACTTGGGAAGCTGGGGTAGATATGGAGCCACTTCACTTTGGTCTTAATGTTACAAATGAGCTTGCTGAGCAGAAGTAGGCATTAGATGATAAGGCCATTCTGTGTGGAGGAAAAGGATGTGCAGATTCTCCGGAGGAGAGATGACGAGAGCCTCAACCAATCCAATTAGAAAGACAGGAATGTTTTTAGCTCCACTTTACAGATGAAAAAACTGAGGCTCCAAGAGCTGGGTAATACGGAAAATTAACAATAGTTAATGCCCCACTGGATCCTGTAACTCTTGATTGTTTTTACAAATCCTTGTTAATCATTTATAGGATCTTCATAAAAGAAAACACGTCATGACTTTTCCAGTGACCCCATAGCAATCCTAACACGTGGTGGTGGTGTATCCTATAAACACTTCTTCACACTAGACCTGAAGCTGTTTTCAATAGAAAATGTATCCATGGTAACACACACACACACACACCCCTACACATGCAGGTACACATGCACATATGCACAAATGAGTTATTTGTAAATATAAAGAAGCCTAGTCTAACAGTCATTCATCAGAGAATAAAGCATCTCATTTTTATTTGTTCTGCTACACTCCACATGGTGAAGATAGGAGATGTGAACTGAAATTAAATCATTTTCAATTTTTGATTTAAATTAAAATTCAATGCGCCACTGTACTTCTAGGGTCAGGAAGTACATTTTATCACTCCTACTGCAGCCTCACATCATTTTTTTTCTTGTGTTTTAAATGGAATGGTTCCACAGGCCTTGAGCCTAACAATAATTGAAAAATTATTCTGGATTAATACACCCAAAATGTAGAGAGAGAAGCAGGTAGGCGGAGTTCAGGCAAATAACGAAACAAAACAGGAGTCAATGTATTGACAACTTAATTTATTTTATTACTTAATTTTGTTCATCTATAATCTGAGACTGCCTCGTAAAATTATTTCTGAACTATTGAATTTTAAGACTTTAAAAATGCTTAAATTTTCCTATTCGATAATTGACTGAAACAAACAGACAAAATGTATTTCCTATTCTGACTTCTGTTTTGAAGTTGCAAAATACACTTCACAACAAACAACTACTGAGGAAAGGGAAACAATTTTCCAGGGCATCCTGATGTTTCTCAGGCAAATTCCCAGCTAAAGATGTTGCTCTAGAAAAGCCTCACAGGGATATTCCTACATGACCACATTTTCAAATTGTCCTACTTGTATCCCACCACATGACTGGAAATCCCCTTAAATTTCAATATCAGAGGATGAACTCTTTCGGTTCAATTTCCCTAGGGACCTAATTGTAATTATATCCAATTTGTTGATAGCAGTGCGAGGACAAAAACACTGCCCTGGTACTCCTGCTCCCTCTTCCTCCTCTCCTTGCACAGAGCTCGATAATAAATGAGGAACACACGATTGTGCCTGGGGGTTCCCATCTGCCTGTGATTACCTCCATGCTCTTGCCTACAGGAGGACAGTGGAAAGTCACTGAAAATCAGGGCAATCTCTTAGCCATTAGTTTGTAAGAATCCTGGCTGCCCCAGTATGAATCAGAACATGAATACCCTGACATAAATGTTCTCAGAAGGTATTAGTCTCACTTCCCTGCCCCTTTTCATGGAATTCTTGAGTTATTTTCTTAGAAAGAGTAGATGCATCATAAAGCTAATAGCACATGCTTTAGAATATGTCTGAACTCTTGACTGTATGTCAAGCTAACCTAAAAGATTGAGAAACTCGTCTTACTGTATTAGTAAGCACTGACCAGGTCTGACACTGCTGAGGAGGGTGAGTTCAGAGACTGGCACAAGCTGGTGTCTGAATGCTGGTCTCTGAGGGGACAGTCTCCCAGGGTAAAGGTTGGAGACAGAAGACTTTCTCACCTAAAGCTGAAGGAGCACAAGCCAGAACAGTTTAAGCAAACAGCCTAAAGAAAATGACTTGGGTTAAAATTGGATAAATGTATTTGAACAGGTCATCAAGGTAAGAAGATGCTGGGGTAGGAAATTCTCAGTCCTAGAGAGAAGAGAGATCAAGGTGAACAGGAGAACGTTTGGAAAAATAGTGTAGACAGGATTATATACATCTTCAGTAGTATATAGTGGAATGACTGGATTTTTTTTAAAGTATATTTATGTATCTATTTCATAAAAGAGAGAGAGAGAGACTTCTAAAAGAGTCTTCATGCTATGATGCATCCCTGGCCTCAGCCGGCCTGGATCACAAGTATGTGTATGTGCACATGCACCCAGAAAGCTCAAGGAAGCCCTGGAATGTGAACCCAGGACTTTTCCCAAGTGGATCCAGGCTCATTGTTGCTGCCCACCAGCAGATGTATTTAAAGGTTCATGGACGAGGCCAGTTCTACCACGTGAGAACACCTCCCCTAACTAGGTTGGGGCTATGTTTGCCTAGGTTAGTGCACTCCTAGGTCAGAAGTGCATTCCCATGACTACTCTTCAGACT